GCCCCCAGCCCACCCACATGCAGAGCCTGCTAGTCCCTAGGCCCCGGTCTACGAAGCCTGATTTGGAGCTAGTGAAAGTGACCCAGACAGCCAGAAACTTCACAAAATGGGCTGGGCGGAGAGCCGGAGAGTGCCCTGACAAGGCCTGAAGGCCGAGAGGAGAGGTCTGCTGTGCATGGCTGGAGCAGCTGGGACGATCATCCTGCCCCACATGCAAGATCCAGTCAGTGTAGACGTCATTTTATCTTTTTTTTTTTTTTTTTTTTAAGTAAGCTCTATGCCCCAACATGGGGCTTGAACTCGCAACCCTGAGATCAAGAGTTGCATGCTCCACTGACTGAGGCAGCCAGGCGCCCCTCAGTCAGTGCAGACTTTGGATAGCTCCACAGTGGGCTTGGTGATCCCGTTGGCCTCCTGTCTGCGTGAGGAGACAATCTGGCATGGGATGGAGGGTGCCGGAAGGTGAGAAGTCCGGAGAGTTTCAACACAGGCCACAGGTGCAGTAACCCAAGAAGGGAGAGGGGCCAACAGCTTCCCAGCCCCGGCAGAGGCCTGCGAGAGCACAGACAGACTGACGCCACGTGCGGGGGTGCCTGGGTGAGGCCACTGAGAGCTTCGATCCAGGCCCAGTGGTCCAGGAGGCTAAGAAACTGAAGTGACACTGAAGAGCTGAGACTGGGGCCGGCAGTGCTGGAATCACAGCGTGACAGAGGGTCCAGGATGCACCCAAAGTCCTACTACGGGCCAAGTCCAAACTGAGTTTCCATGACCCGGCTGGCCGAGGGAGGAGTTGTTCGTTCCTGGGGCAGGACAAGGGGTCCTTCAGGAGCGGTGGTCCCTCAGACGGGGCTATGTGGCACGATCACAAAGATGAATGTTTACTGAGTGTTTACTCAATACAGTGCCACGTATTCTTCAAAGCCCTTTCTGTGAATTATGCCATTTCATCTTGCGACAGTCTTTACGAGGTGGATGCCATCTTTATCCCCATTTTATAGATGAAGAAACTGAGGCCCAGAGAGGTGAAGTAACTAGCCCAAGGTCACAAAGCCCCAGGCAGCAATGTCCGGACCCAGGCACTCCGACTCCAGAGCCCATGCTCTGAACCGTGTTGTGACATTGCCGCCGACACATCACGGCTTGGGACAAGGGCTGACCTTGTCAGGGGAGGCAGATGGAAGTAAGAAGCCGCTTGCTGGCAGGCTCTGGCCTGTAGATGCTAAGGAACTCCCAGAGAACCATCACACCCGGTGGGAAACCAGACCACTTGTGTGATCCCCTCCTAAAGGGCCTAACGACCCCACCTCCCCGCAGAGCCCCAGTCCTGGCTGCCCCCTCCCAGGTAGGGCCCCCTGCACCCTTACCTCTGTGGTCATCATGCTGCACGGCCTCCACCTTGTTCCCAAATGATGAGTCCAGCATCTCCTGCCGGCCTCTGGCCCCCTGCCCCACACTGCCTGGGAAAGGGTCGGGCGGGCGCTTGGCAGCTGGGCTTCCACCCACTCCCTGGACCTCAGGGCTGCTTGCCCTCTTGAGGGCCTGCAGCTGGGCAGAAGGGCTCTCCTCGTCCCCAGGGCAGCCACCGGGACACCCAAACTGCTCAGAGTGTCGTGTGAGCCATGTCTTCTTTAGCTTGGTGTGATGGCTGGGTGGGCAGGCCCTGGGACCAGAGGCCTTGTTCACTTCCTCGTTGGATTCACTGGGCCCGATGGTGCCGCCCTCCTGGCACTTCCCACAGGGGCCAAGACCTCCATCTCTAGCAGGTGGGTGAGATGAGCAACAGCCTCCCTGGGTGGTAGGAGGCCCAGGAGAGGGGCACCTTGATGTGGCTGATGGCCCCAGATGGTACCCAAGGCTCCCACCCCCCGGTACAGCCCAGACGTTGCCAAGAGTATGAACCAGGCCTGGGGGGCACGGGGACCAGGGGGTCCGGGGAGCAGAGTCCGGATGCCCCAGGAGGAATGGGCAAAGGTTCTGATGCCTGCCGACTCCTGCCTCTCCATCTCTCTGGTGGAATGAAGGTCGCTCCACTTCCCCAGTTCTCTGGAGATGCCCACCAGAGGCTAAGCCTAACAACCCAGGTTCTGCGGTTGCCAATGGTTCCTTTGCCAGCCTGAGGATGCTTGGATCCTTGTGGTAAAAGCCCTAAAGAGAGGAGAAGGGGTAGAGCTCGTGCTGACTTTGATCCCCAGTGCTTCAAAGGACGAGCAGAACTGCCGACCAGCAGGTGTGCACCTGTGTGGCCTTAAGGGTCAGGAAAACACTGAAGAACTCAATCCTGGTTTGCAGACCCTGCGCCCAAAGTGCCTCCCCACTGCCCTGCTTACCCCCCTCCCCCGTCCCTCCCTGGGATTTCTCAGACCTCCGCACAAATCCAGCAACTAAAGGGTTAGTGCTTGTCACCACCAAAGGGCCTCTGAGGATCCATTTAGATTGTTTGATGATGAGTATCATACTGGTCTTAAAATAGTTTAAATCTTATTCCTGGGCGTGGGGGTGGGTTGCCGGGGGGGGGGGGGGGACAGGTGCCATAGACACAGGCCATGGGGACACCTGCACATCCCACTCCCAGATAGAGGGCCTTATCTGCCCCCTGAGCTCCGACCCCAGGACGAGACCAGTGTTCAGAGGCCGCAGTTCCCAGGGCCTTGTTCTGGGTGGACAATGAGTAAGCCAGTCCCTGAAATGGCCCAAAGGCAGGGAAGGCTCAGTGAGATGGAGCCGCTCAGAGGAGGAATTGCTTGGGGCTGACTCTGTCTGAGCTGACAGGCTCCTCTACTAGGGTGCTGTCTTATGTTTTCATCAGAACGGAAGAGCGGAGTGCTGTGGCCAGGCAGGGCTGCTTGAAAACACTGAGCTATCTTGTGCAGCCTAAGCCCCAGGTACCCTCTCTGCTCCAACACTCACCTTGCTGCCTAAGCCGAAGGCAGAGGGCTCTTTGGGCTGCCCCCCTGAGTACACCCAGGGGTGTGGGGCCAGGGGCCAGTCACATGGACGCTCTGGGGGCAGGCTGGACACTAGGTAGGGTGGCAAGCAGGTGGGCACCCAGAAGGGAGCTTGCTCGAGGATCTTGGTCTCCAGAAGGAAGGGGCAGTGCAAGGGCCGGAAGGCCACAGGGTCACTCTTGGGATGGCCACCATTATGCTCAGGAATCAGGGGGCCATAGCGAGGCGGGTACGCTGAGCCACAAAGTGCCAGTGGGTGGGTAAGCATTGCCTCCTTCCAGCGCAGCCCCTCCTTGCTACCCAGCCAGTTGGCCTTCCTCTCCCCATTGCGGGGACCTTCTCCCTCCACCAGTGGGAGCGTGTCCTTGGGGCTCTGGGGAATGCCAGGGGGAAACCAAGAGTCTGGGGTGCTTAGGACACCCCTCCAGAAGGGAGCAGGCTCTCCCAGGCACAGTGCACCCCGGCGCAGACCATCTCGAGGCAGGGTATCCGGCTCCTGTCCCAGGATGCCCTTCTCAGGGGCTGTCTTCTCCCAGGCTGCGGTGTCCTTCAGGAAGCTGGGCGTGCTCTCCATCACTCTCCTGCCCTCATGGGGCTCTCCCAGAGGGGGTCCCTGGAGCATAACCAACAAAGCATGAGCTTCTTAGGCACATGCCCCAAGCACCGTGACGCCTGGGGCAGAGCTGGGCACCGCCCTGGCAACACCAAGGCGGCTCAAACCAGTAAGGCAAGTGCCAGCCTACAGCTAGGCTCCACGCTGCCTGCCCACATGCAACTCGAAGGACCTGCCTGGGTGGGATACTCACGTGTGGGGAGGTCAGCCCTTGCCCCAAATGCCCAAGCCCACCTGGGCCAGAGCCCCTCAGCAGAGACCGCCATTTCTAGAATGATATGTCCTTGCATTTGCTGAGCCTGGATCCTGGGCACGAGCCACGGGGCAGGGCAAGGGGCGAGAACCCAAAAGTTGAGGTCGGTGGAAGGTACTGCATTAGAGGACAAGAAGGCAGGGTCCCGGCTTTGACTCAGCACCTGCTATGTGACCTTGGGCAAGTCATATCACTCCTCTGGGCCTCAGTGTGCCCTTGTGTAAAATCGGGTTTGGAAACTAGCAGTCTCAGAGGCCTCTTTCCACATTGCAGTCTGTGGGACCGGGGGTGCTGCTTGCCTACCCCCATCCCTCAGCCCCACTCAAGCTTGTAGGGGTGCAGGCAGGGTGGGCTGGAATCACTGGGGAGAGCCGCCAGGCAGGGCTGCTGGCTGGCATCTCTCCCTACACTTGGGCAGTCCCTGGTGTGTCTCTTCCCAGCTCTCTGTGGTTTCTTGGCTTCCGAAGCAGAGTCCCAGGACAACTGCTGGGGGCTGAGATCTCCACCGCAGCCCCCAAGGGAAGGAGTGAGCCAGCACAGGAGAGGGGGATTAAGAGGCCTCAGCTGGGACGGGTCAAGCTGCTCGAGTCCAGCAGGCAGTGCCAGGGCCGCCAGCGGCCGCTGGTAACTGCAGCCTGGCAGGGGGAGGAAAGGAGGCGGGGAAAGCGGGCTGGGCCCCAGAGAGAGGCAAAGGAGGGAAAATTGAACGTGCGTGCAAAGGACCAGGGTGACAGGTGGCACCGGAGCCGCAGCGCTCCCCCAGCGCGGCCCCCTCGGCGGGCTGGATGAAGCCCCAGAAGGCCCAGGGAGCCGTGACAGAGGTCGCTCGGGTTTTCTGGGGCCACGGCTCCGTAGTGGCCCAGCCCCGTCGGGCATCCTAACTTGCAGACCTGTGGCGCCGCCCGGAGAAGCACAGGGAACTCACTCGCTGCGGGCGGCCCGGGCTCGGCTCAGAAATGCCCCGCTACGAGTGTCCCCAGAAGGCCCGCCCCTGGCGCCCCCTCTCGGCGCTTACCTGGGCTTCGCGAGCCGGGCGCGGCGCGGGCGGCGGCGGTCGTCTTGGCCGGCGCCGGGCGCCCGCTCCCCATGGGCCGGCTCCGGGGCCTCCCGGCCGGCGAGCGAGGACGCGTTCTCCCGCTCTCTGCTCAGCGCGCTCGCGTTCTCTTTCCCCCGGGGCGGCGGGGGCGCTCTAGGGCCGCAGGTTGGAGGGGTCGGATTCCGGGATCTGCAGGATGCGGCACACGGCGCGGATCGGCCGCACCAGCTTCTGGGCCGAGGCCGTGGGTTGCGCCATGGGACGCCGAGACTCCGTGCTGCGCCGCGGGGAGGGCCGGGCCGGGGCTAGGGAGCGGGTGCCCCCGGAAGGAGAGTGGGAGCCGGGCCGGGGGGAACGTGCGCCCCGGGTCGGAGATGGCCGAGTAGGGGTGGGGGGAAAGGCCGAGAGGCCGGGGGAGGGGATCGTGCCTGGAAGTGGGGGCCGATCCCGGGTCCCAGGAGAGAGGCACCGGCGAGGGCGCAGCACGGCGCAGCGCGGCTAATGGAGGGAGAGCGCGGCGGACAGCGCAGCAGGACCTCTCATCGCCATCGCCAGACGCGCAACTGAGAGTGGGGAAGCTGCTCCGCCGGTTTCCTCCTCCAGCACCCTGCGGGAAACAGGAGCCCGTGATTCGGCGGCCCCGCCTGGGCCTGCCCCCTCCCGGGCCCCGGGGGCTTCCGCCAACGCCCCGGCGATGCCACCGGCTGCGCACGGGGAGAATGAGCCCTTTGTTCCCCCCTCCCCCCCGCGGCACCCGGGCGCCTGCCGAGAGAGGCTCCCCCGGGGCAGCGTGCCAGCTTCCCAGCCGCCCCACCCTCCCGTGGGCCCGGCCCCGGAGCCTGGCAGGCGGGCAGCACCCCCACTATAGGTGCCAAGCCCGGGAACTGGAGCAAAGGGCGGGAGGGGCCGGACCAGGCCACGGTGGGGCGGGGTGCCCCCCGGGGTGCTAGGGCGGGGCGGCTGGGGGGGAGCAGTGCCAGAGCTGGCAGGGGCAGTCGGGTTCTCACGGGTCAGTGATGGGCGCCTGACCCACGCCAGCCGACCCTGTGGCTCCCGGAACACTTGCTCGTGGTCCTTCAGCTCTGGCACATGGCACACCCCGCTGGCCCATGTCTGCCCTGCCTCATCCTGACCTGGCCAAGCTGCTCTTCACCTTCTTGACTCAAGCCCCCTTCCGGGGCCCAACAGCAGGCACCAGGTCCTGCCTTAGCAGTTCTGGGGAGACCTAGGCTCTAGTCTGTCCCTACTCTAAGGGCCTAGGTTTCAGCAAGTGTCCAGAGAGGAGGTGGGCCCAGATGAGGCCGGACACCTGCTCCAGCCTGGCGTTCTGGGGGTCTGCCCCATCCCAATTCCTAGTGCTTCCAGGCCCAGCACTGGAGAGGAGCCCATGGGAGTGGCTCCTGGGAGGGAGCAGAGAGGAGGAGAGGAAATGGGAAAGCAGGGCACCCTCCACCCGAGGAAGCATCCCGGCTCTTCTGCGGGGGTGGTTCCAGAGCACAGACACAAACAGACAGATTCAAACACACACAGACAGATTCAGACACACATAGAAACCCACACGCCCAACGGAGCTTCCCTTCCCTGCAGGCCCCCACCTCCCACCCCACAACTCCCTTTCCTCCTTATGGAAGCCATCCTTGGCATGCTTTCACCCAGCCTGGGACAGAGGCAGTACCATCCCACCCACCACCATCCCATCGGAGGGATGAGTTCTCTGATGCCTCCAGCCTGGTCCCAAGTCACCACCCCTCTACCATCCCTGGAGAGGGGAGCCAGGAAGAGTTGGGAGGGAGCCTTCTCCCAAGAGACTGAAAGAGAGGCAGGAATCCTTTTACCAGCTGAGGAGAAGAGGAGGGGGCTCAAGAAAAGGAGGCCCGAAGGGGCGCCGGGCAGGACTTGGGTCATGTTGGCACCGACTCACTCAGCCCCTCCGCCTCCCCCCAGAGGCCGCTTCTGTGGCAGGGCAGGCTGGTAGGGGTTGTTTACATGACTGAGTTATTAACACTGCCTTCCTCCCCCAGCTCCCCTGAGAGGTGGCCTGGACCTCAGTGTGCCAGGGGAAATGATCGTGGAGGGTCTAATGTAGACTGCGATGCCAGAGTCCCAGGCCCCAGACCCCCCCCCAACAAGGCTGGCTCCAGGTGCAGATAGGGAGCTGGGGCGTGCCTGTGGTCCCCCGTCTGTGTCCTCTGGCAGCTGAAGCTTGTGCGAGAGTCTGGGGGGAGATTCCTTCAGCTTAAGGCCTAGAAGAGGCTGGCTAGGGCAGGGTGGGAGCCTGGGTTGTCCTGGACGCTGAGGGCCTGTCACTGTCATCCTCAAGGAGATGGGTACTGTCCCAGGGAAGGAGGACAGACATCTCCCCACACCTCACCCCCAGTTGCCATGTCTGCTTTGTCAGGTTACAGTCTCTGGACAGGAACAGGACTCTCAGGACAGGCTCCTGAAATGCCCAGGGGGCCACGGGGGTTGGGGGAGAAGGCGCTTTCCACCCTCACCAGCTCCCCATCCTGCTCCACAGCCTATGCCACGGGCCCACAGAGCCCTTGTAGCTGGCTGTTCTGTGCCTGAGGACGCAGCAGATCGAAGGAGACGCAAGAGATACAAACACAGAAGGAAAGCCACGCACGGGTGGACACAATGCTGGATTCATGGACAAAGGCAAGCTGACCAGCACCCCCAGAAGCACCTGGGCCCACCCTGGGCTCACACCGACCCCTCACCCGCGCGTGTGCACGCGCACACACACACACACACACTGATACACACACACTGATACCCACATTCATGCTGACAAGCACGGCAGCACTGCCGAGCCGGCTACCCTCACGCTGTCCCCAGAGCCCCTTACCTGGGCAAGCACAGTGCCCCTCGGGTGGAACAGCCCCCTGCCCAGGGGAGGGCAGCAGGCAGGGGCGGGGGAAGGAGCCCCGGAGAGTCAGGCCAAGCTGCCACTAATCCGGGCGGGGAGAGGGGGGGGCACCCACGTCAGAGCGGGGACTGCCGGGTGGAGGGCATCTGAGGACATCCCCTCCCACACACGCGGCCGTCTGGGCACCTAGCCCTACTTCCCCAGCCCCTCCATCCTTCAGACAGCTGAGGCTGGCCTCCCCCCACCCCGCCCCCCACCCTTGTGGCAATGCCTGGGGGGGGGCATGGGGGGGCGTGGGGGAGGGGGAATACGGGGGAGAATTCTCGCAGGACCTGGGGTAAGGGGGAGAGGAAGGAAAGTGTTGGAGATGCTTTTGGAGCCAGGAGGAAGCTCTGGAGCAGATGCCCCCCTCCCCTCGTGCCCACCCACCCACATCCCTGACCTAATTCCTCTTCTCAGTCCGCACCTCCCCTATGCCCCTCCTCCCTTCCCCCACCTCCTCTCCCCTGCAGTCTAACCACCCCGGTAGAGAAAGCTACCTCATTCTGCCCCAGGCTTAGGACCTTCTGCCTAGCAACCCAGCTCTGGCCCCAGGATTTCCTGAGCAGCAGGCATCATCCTCCTGCTGGGGTTTCTGCCCCCTACCCAGCTCTAGGGCGTCCTGGCCAGTCCCTGATGTTTATCGGGGACAAGAGGTGAGAGCCTGGGGTGCTCTTGTCGACCCCCTCATGGGCGGAGCAGTGCCAGCCCAGACTCTCCAGTGTTGGAACAAGAGGCTCACTACCTGCAGCCTCAAAGTGGCAGCTATGACTACTGAAGGGGCCAAGAGCATCCGGAGGCCAGAGGCAGGAAGGGGCACCCGGATGGACACGGAAGGGCCACAGGCTGAAAGTGGCTGAAGAGGTAGGGCGAGGGAGGAGCTACCCAAGGTCGAAAAGCAGGTGGGGCGGTGTGGAGGCAGGAAAGGGGAGGCCAGGAATTCAGGCCCCCACACACCCGGCAACTGGGAGGCAACGGAGGACCTCCTCACCCTCTCCTCACCCCCTCACACAGGCCAGGTGGACTGGGAAGCTGAAGAGTCAGCCCGGGGCACAAAGCGAGTGGGGCTAATACCTGGGCCAAGCTGAGGCCTGTTCTTCCCAGGGGCCTGGCCGAGGCGCTTCATCTCCTACTCAGTGCCCAGCGCGGAGCCCAACATGTCTGTGCTCCAGGCTGGTTGGAACGGAGGCCCAGCCTTGATCTGCCTGGGCATCTTGGTGGATAAAGGAAGGCTGAGGGCCAGGGCAAGCCAGAGCCTAGGGGTTCCTAGGGCAAGCCAGAGCCTAGGGTGTCTTAGGGCCAGGAGCCCCATGCAGAGGAAGACAGTGCCGGTGGCAGATGTCTCTGTCATTCTCAGAGGGACATGGCAAGCCCCGAGGGAAGCCCAGCCCATAGCCAGTGTTCCCGTCTCAGGATCACGTGTGTGCTTGGCCAGAAATGCCCCAGAACTTGGAATTCTCCTTGCCCCTTCCCCTCTGGCCTCAGAATGTCTTAGAACCTGTATAACTGCAGCAGCCATTTGGGAAATGTGTGTTCTAGAGACCCTGGCATTTTCGAGGCTCTGTGATGGGCCCCAAGGAGCTACAGTGCACGAAGATGAATGCGCAAGGCCATCTCTGCCCTCGAGGAGCTTAAATAGTCACTCAGGGCATTTGTTCTTGTACCAGCACAGCCCATGGTGTGCCCAGGTCCAGGGAGCAGGCCAGAGATCGGAAGCCTTGGGAGCTTGGGGAGGGGTTGGCGAGTCAGAGAAGGCTTCTTGGAGAAAGCAGGTCTGTAAGGAAGGCTATGGGGGCTGTTCAGAGGGCGGGAGATTCATACAGCCAGAGCAAAGGCCCGGGGGCCGACGTGGATGAACGAGTGAACAAGAGCGCTCAGGAGTCAGAAAAGGCAGCAGCTGTGGGGCAGCCAGGCTAGCGAGGAGGTGGGGGGCAGGGGGAGGTGAAGATCTTGTGCCTGAGAAAAGTGTCACCATTTCTGCCCAGGGGCCCAAGGGACCCTGCAGCCCATTCTAAAGCCCATTCTAGGAATCAGGGCAGGTGAAGCTCCAACTCCCTCAACACCCCATGGCTTCAGGCCTCCCCCAGTGCCCCCTTCCTCTGAGCTCATGTCTCATTTGCCCATTCATCGCACACTCCTCTGTTGTGCACCCCCAGCTCAGGGGTGTGGGTCCTGCCATTCCACGTCTGCCACAGCAACTTCTGGACCAGCTTGCCTCGTGAGACAGGGCCCCCATGCACAGGCAGCACGACGGAGACAAGTTGCTTCACCTCTCCAAGTCTCCGTTTTTCCATCTGTGAAATGGGTCTAAGCCCTACCGGCAGGCTCGTCAGGAGGAGTCAAGGAGACCATCTCCGCCCCGCGCAAGGCCAGGTGCACGACCGATATTCGATCCGGGTCCGTCTCCTCCTTGCCTCATCTCGTTCTGCACAGCGGTCAAGCATACCGACTCTGGAGCCACACTGCCCGGTTCAAAGACGAGTTCTGCCATTTATTGGCGTGAGCTGTGTAACCTCGGGCAGATCACCTGTCCTCTCAGTGCCCATCTTCCCATTTGTAAAGGGGTGTTATAATAATAGTACCTGCCTCAGGAGGTTGTTGTGAAGATTCAGTGACTGTATGTTAGGGGCTTAGAGCAGCACCTGCTGGGTAGTCACGTCCTAGGTGCTAGCCATTCCTAGACTCTGCATCCTGAGTATCTCGAAACATGCCTGGCACCTGGGAGATACTCAACAGAGATTTTTTGAGTGAATAAATGAAGAGATGAGGCAACACCATGATGCAAGAGAAGGCCTAGATAGGAAGTCACTCAACACCAATAAGTGAGGAGCTAAACCACCCCAGACGATTAAGTGCCTTCCCCAAATAAAACCCAGATAATCCCCACACCAAGAGTTAATCCATACTCCTCAGGTCACTCAGGGTTACCGCCGTATTTCCCCTCTTCCCATCCACCTCTTTGCTTAATCAAAAGTGGGAAGGAAGCGCAGGTACGGGGTGGCTGAGGGGAGCAGCCCTGGGACACTGTGGTGAGACCAGCACCCAGGGGCCGGAGGGGGCAAAGCCAGCAAGGGCTGCCCCAGGGAGTAGAGTAGGGAGAGCCTGGGTCTCAGAACAGGGGAGACTCCGTGGACGGGGCAGCAGGACCACTGACCACAAACAACATGAAGGAGCAGCAGAGAGGGCCACTGGAGGCCAGGCCAGAATTTTGCATGTCTCTCCAGCCAGCCAGCCAGCCAGCCAGCCAGCCAGCCAGCCAGCCAGCGGTCAGGCCCCTCTCAGGCAGGGCTCTGGCCAGCCTCCCAACCCCGCCCTCCTTGACCTGGAAGCTAGGGGCAGCCCAGACCCTGGCAGCTGCTGCCCTCTCGCGGCCGCTCTGAAGAGGTGCAATGCTCCCAACGCCAACCTGGGTGTTGACAGGCACTCGACCCCTAGAGCTGGTCTAGGGACCCCCCCTGGAGACCCCCACGGGCCCATGGAGGAAGTTGGCCTCCCCAGGCCTAATCTGTTTACAGCTCCAGCTAATCCCCATGAGATTACTGTGCTGCCTGAGTTCCCTCCACACCTCTGCTCCCACTGGCTTCTACTTCCCATCAAGGTCCAACCCCATCTCCTCCTGACTATAGTCTTAGACTCTGACCCCATGCAGGGGTGCCCCCCCCCCGCAGTCTCCCATCTGTGTTCTCAGAAGTCTCCAAGAGCTTCCTGTGACAGTACTTGCCACATCACAACTATATGTCAATGGCTACCTCCCCCAGAAGACTGGGTCCTTCTGGCAGTCTGTCTGTCCTTTTAGCCCCCATCCTAGGCCCGGACTGACCTACAGCAGGCTGTTTAATAATGTGTGCTATGAGCACCAGGAATACAAACCAGGACAAAGAGAACACTTTTATGTGTTTATTTACCAAAATATGCATAAACCTGACCTCATTCACCAACACAAAACATACAACCAGGACACACACCTACACACACACACAAGGCCTTGGAGGAGGCTGTCAAGTACTTTGAAGGACAGGAAGAATGAACACAGCTGGGTGGACTTTTGGTCTCACTTGCAAAGGTTTGGAAAGGACTCTGGTCCCACACACCCGGGAGGGTAGAAGGATGAGAAAGACTATAAATAGAATCTTGGGCCCAGCCTGCTTTGGTACGTTACAGGTGTAGCCCTGTGCATGGCCCCAGCAGCACCTGGCCCTTAACGACACCAGGAGCCAAGAGGACAGGGCCTGAGCAGCTGGTGTAGGTAGGTCAGACGTGCAGCCAGAGGTCCCCTCCGAACAGCCCCCAGTGCCCCATAAGGCAAGAGGTCAGATTAGACCAGGCTCTGCAGACCCTAGCTGTTCTTGTCTGAAGAAATGGTCTTTTTCCTTGTCCGAACCTTCAGGGAGCGCGAGGTGGTGCCCTGGGGGGAGAGAGCAGGTACCACCTGAGGAGGTCTAGGCCCGAGCACCTGGACAGCCCACCTCCCTCGCGCCTTCCTTGCCACTGACCTCCCGCACCGGCGGCTTCCTCTTGACCACACGCAGGCTCTGGCTGCGGCCGAGAGGCTTCTCTCGGGGCCGGCTGGGTGGCTGGGGAACTGCCTCTGTGTCTGACCAACACGCATCGTCGGTGTCGCTGTCCTGCAGGCCCCCTGCCCGGTACCCTGTATAGAGGAGGGGGAGGCCAGGGAGGCAAAGCTGGGTATTTCCATAGTCTGAAGGCCTCGAGCCAAGCCAGGCCTTCTAACCGCTGGGGAAGCCACGGCTTGCATGGAAGCAGCATCCCCCTTGGAACAAACAGCTCCGGATCTCTCTCCCACTCACCGATGGGCGGCCTGCAGCGAGGTACTTGGTCCTCCAGGTAGAGGGGATCTTGGTAGGCGGGGGCAGGGGCATCAGGGATGGAGCGCAGGTCCTGCATGGAGAAGCTTCGCAACCTTCCGGCCAGTGCGCCCTGACTCTGCAAGGGCCGGGGAGCCACCGCGTCACCTGGAGGGATGGGGCAGGGGATCCTAGCAGGAAGCGGGCTGAGCCAGGGCAGCTGCTCAGGGAAATGAAGGGGCCCAGGCCTCAGGACTGAAAGCAGCTCAGTTACCTTCTAGCCCGATGCCTTTGTGGCACCAACAGGAAATGAAGGCCCAGAGAGCAGGACCAACAGCTCATGATCACTGTCCCAGCCAGGGAAGTCTGAACTTCGAGCTCCATCCTCCTGCCAACACCCCACCTGTCACCCCTCACCCTGTTCCCCGGCATGCTCAGGTGCTCTCTCTCGGCTCCCTGACAGAGAGCTGGATGCCCCCAAAAAGCACTGGGAGTGGGAGGGCTGCTGGGGGGCTGGGACCCAGGGCACCTTGGTGGCAGCCTGCACAGCGGCTGAAGCAGCAATGTTGAGGCCCCGTTTCCCAAAGCTGAGCACCGTCTCATAGCTGCGCTCCTTGGCCTGCACGATGCAGGCGTCAATCTCCTGCGGAGGACGGGGAAGGGGAGGAGGGAGGGGGGCGGAGTTCAGCTGGACAGTTGAGTCACTCCTGTGCTGCAGACCACACCTCCCTGCCCACCCCCACCTACAGGGCACTAGCAACCACGTGGAGCAGGGCTCCCCACCCACCCATTCCCACACCTCCATGAGTGACCACGCACAGCCTCCTCCCACCATCCCCGAAACAACTTCCAGCTGGTGTTTCACACTCTCAAATGGTCATTCACATGTGCTCCCATCCGATCATCACGAGAGAGGAAGAAGGCTAGTTTCTGTCAAGGTCCCACAGCAAAACGGCAGCAGGACTCAGATTATCACCCAGCGTCCTGAGCCCGAGTCCAGGGCCCCTTCCTTCACACCCACCCGTTTCCCTCCCTGACTCCCCCCAGAGTACCTTCTCATGACGGGACAAGGATGGGTGGACAAACTTGCGGTAAAGCAGGCTGGCCCCTTTGGTGTAAGGTGATAGCAACCACAGCACAAAGGCCATTTTGATCTCGTAGTAGAAAGGGAACCTGTCAGAGCACAGGGTGGCAAGGTCAGCCAGGCTGAGCGTGGGCCGTCACCTGCCCACCGCCCGCAGACCCCCTGCATGCATACCAGGAAATAAAGATGTCTGTGAAGGTCTCCACGGCCATGAACAGTGCAAAGACTATCCAGTACATCATCCACCGGACCTGGGGGGTAGGGGGGTCAGAGGCCAACAGCTGAGCCTGCAGAGCCAACTCCCCTGTCCCAGGCTGACCCGGAGATTCCAGAGAGCCTGTCCTGCTGCATTCTCCCGGCACCTGGCTGGCCCTAGAGAGTTGCCTCTGAGAAACTGCCACTCATCTCTGTACCCACCCCCAAGAAGCTTCACCCACACGATTCTGCACAGGCACCCCAATAGCCTGCCTTCCAACCGCACCCACTCTGCTTAGGATATGCCACCTGCTTACCCCCCGAAGGAAGGGGAGGCCAGTTCAGACCCTCCCCACCTCGCCAAGTCCTACCATACTCCCAAGGTTGTCATCCCACCCAATCTAAACCAAGCCCTCCTGCCCACAGTCACACTCACATATTCACGAATGTTCTTGGTCTTCACAGCCTTGTAGGAAGCATAAGCTGGGTACAGCATCCCAAACACCAACCTAGAAGAGCCCATAAAACAGAAGGGGAGTATGAGGGGCATCATGTCCTCCTGCCCCCCACCAGGTGGCCACCTCCCTCCCAGGGGTGAAGTGACAAGGGTCTATCCTGTTCTTCCCGCTTGGCTTGCACAACCTGTGCCTGAGTCAGTGCCCTGGAGGCCACCTCCCCACCCTGCTGTTTACAAACACCCCAAGCCTGCCCAGGCCTGCACCAGTGGCCTATGGGTGCATGATTGAGCAGGAGCACACACAGCCACACACAGGCGGGTGGGAGGCAGGCTTCGGAGCTGGTGAGAGCACCAGGCGGTCCCCTCCCATGGACATGCAATCAGGCTAGGGCCACCAGACCTGGCACTGCCAGGTTGCAGACAGGAATATTGGAGCCATCTTTGGAATACTAGATGGTGAGAGGAGGACAGAGTGGGGAGGCTCAGGCCAGGGTGGTGAGTCATGTGACTGCTCAGATGGGAAGCAGGCACCTGGAATCTCCGCCCACAACGTGCCACACCACCTTGTGTTTGCTAAGGGGCTGCAGGCTGGCGTGAGGGCCTCTGTCCCACACGCCTGTCTGCAGTGTGTGTGACTGCGGGAGGGGTCGCCATGAGCCAAGGAGGCTTTGGGGGTGGAGAACAAGCAAGGGTGCCCGATGGCACGTGCAGGCCCGCAGGTCCGTTAACCCTTGTGGTGAGTGTTGAGGGAGCTGTGACAAAGCACAGAAAGCCCCTTTTCCCACCAGACGTTCCCATCTTCCACCTCAGGTGCGGTCTGGTTCCTGGCGGTAGAGGGTGTATGAAAGCAGCCATACTCACACCACCAGGCGACAGATCATCCAGGACACCATCCTGCAGCCTCGGGACGAAGGGGGAACCCCCACAGAAGAAGACCAGGGGGACGCTCACGCGGGGCTGGGATGGGATAATCAGTGGAAGTGCGGGAACCAGAGGGGCGCTCGGGCTGCCCCTTGGCAGAGGCGGAGCCCGCCGCCCCCCAACTCCGCAGTGCGCAGAGCCTGAAGAGTGGGGAGACCCGTGGGCTGAGGCGAGGAGGCCGGGGCTCGAAGGAACCGACTTGGGAGCCGGTAAGGGCGGGCACGTTCTTCCGCCCCGCCGCGCTCCGGGGCAGTTACGGCTCAGCCCCGCACTTCCTTCTGCGGGAACCAGGTGTTCGGCTCTCGCCTTGGCGCTGCTGCGGGTCCCGGGCCGCGGGTGGCGGTCACGGCCTTCGCTCGTTCGGGTCCCCGGCCACCGGTACCGGCCTCGGGGCGGAGTTTGCAACTCACTTGAAAGTTGCACGGAACTAGGCTCTGCCCAACCCCTGGTCGCCGGCGCTTGGCGCAAGCGCAGTACGGCCGCGGAGGGGGCGGGGCGAGGTCAAGGAAGCCAGGGGCCTGCCCCTTAAAGGGGCGATGCGCCTCCTACCCGTGGATGGGGCCCATTAGGTTGAGTAGCCGCCCTAATTGGAAAGATTAGGGGGTGGCAAACAGCAACAAAAAAGGTGGGTAGGAGGAAACGAAGGAAACTCGGAGTCCAGAGTTTTCGCGGCTCTAACCTGGCTTCCCCCTTTACCTCGTCTTTCCCTTAGGTAAAATGGGAAAAAGCATGGGATGGGTGCAGGACCCCGGTTCCAGGCTCACGCCCAAGTGGAAGGAGGCTTGGCTGAGCGCCAACAGATCCAGGTCTTGCGGTACTGGGTCAGGAGATGCATAAGCGCCTCAAGGACGCTGAGTTGACTTAGAGTGAGAGCGGGAAGAAGTAGGAGAGGGAACCTGAGGGACTCATCACTCCCATGAGTCTCACCTTGAAGAGTGGGTTTCAGGAGTTAACTTCTCTCTGGGATACCTCTCTAGACCCCGCATATCTGGTGGGCTGACCGTGATAATTTGAGAGATTCTGGGCAGAGCCCCTAGCCACCCCCCTTTCTTCTTCACCAGAAGTTTGAAGTTCTACCTTTTCCTGTGAGTCAAGAGCACAAACATCCCTGAGAGCTGAATCCTATCGACAAGTGCCACTTTGTAGCTAATTTTTGTATGCAAGGTCTTGACCTTTACAAAGATCCTCCCTCCCCCACCTTTTTTTTTTTTTTTTTTTTTACCATTTAGGAAATATATTCCCTGGGCCACACTGGTTGCTGGCTGATATGTGGGTGATGGGTGAATGCTTGGCTTGATCAGTCTTCTGAGCAAGGCCCAGGAAGGGGAGAGGGAACAGAGAAGCTCCTCCAGGGGCAGATGTATAGGGGGAAGAAGGTGGGAGGCTTGAAGGAGAAGGCAAGCTTTGTTGCTTCTAGAACTTTGCATGTAGGACTGCATTCTTTGTATCTCTTCTGCATAGTGCCTCATTCCTCCCTCTGACAATGGGGACTATGCCTCTGTACCCTGCGCAGCCTCCCCTCTGCTTCACAGGGCTGAGGTGAAGGAGACATCAGAGTTACCCAGAGCCATGGGGATGGGAAACTTGGACAGTTACTACTTTTTATTAGAGCCATAGTTAACACCCATCACCTACTGAAAGGATGGAATAGGTAATGATGGGGGCCAGGGAAAGGAGGCTTCCTGGGAATAAATAAACAGGAGGTAATTATGTAGTCTTAATTACTATCATCCATTTTATTGGTGTTGTTGAGTGTGAGAGCTAGCAGTGAAACTGACCCACAGGAGAAACTCCCCTGAGGCCTCCCTCTTCCCATCTAACCACCCCCTCACACTGGGCCTCACTCCTACCCTATGTTGGAAGAACAAGAGACTCCAAGAGCTAGAGTCCCACCACCCATCTCTAGGCACGACATTGTGATAGAGGTGAAAGTCGAGCTTAACTGAGGAGACACATCCTTGTCTCCTGGGAGCAGAAGGATGTGATTGACCCATGGGGGCGGGCTCGGGAGGAGCAGGGGGCTGCAGAAGAGGGAAGGAACACCCGTTCCTCAGGAGGTAAGAGTGCCTGGGCTCACTATGTGCATGTGTACCTTGGGTCTTTTGGTACCTGCTGCAGAATCACCTCCTCCCTGGCTGCCTTCCAGAGTCACCTGACCTGACATAAGCATCTACCCCCACTTGCTAGCGAAGAGCTCTCCTGTGCCCACTTTAAGACCATCCCCATGGGGAAGGTCTCTCACATGGAGATTCCTGGTCCTGATGACTGCACTTAGAGACTCTAAGGGACATCAGAGGTCTGCTCCCGAGAGCAGGACTCAACGTGGAGGGGCATGTGCTGGGAGCTGAGGGGTGCAGAGTGAGAGGACTCTGTCTTTCATGGCCTTTGGCCGTGAGATGTTGACACAGTCACCCAGCTACACTGGGTTGCTAAGCAACTCTCTGGACACACAGATGACCCCCAGAGCAAGTGACCAGGCAGGCGTACAGCAGGCTTCATTCCCCATGTGCAGAAAGCTGGGCATTCAAGGGGAGAATTGTCTCCCACCGCTGGGAGTTCCAGGGAGAGTGACAGAATGTTTATCTTTCCACCAGGCAACAGAGTACCAACGTGTCTGGGACACTCAACCCACTTACCCCAGCAACTTCTCCCTGGCACAGCCTGAGGGCCCATTCCCCATTTGAAAAAGCAGGACAGTGTGGCTGGGGGTCCTGAGGGGCATCTGCTAAGCCAAGAGCACACGAATGTGGTCGGGGGCAGGCTTGCGGGGGGCAGCTGCCGCTACAGGAGAGACAGAGGGCCCAGGGGCTCTGAGACTGGAGGGTGAGGAGCCCTAGTCCACAGACCGCAGTTCTCCCCAAAGACCAACCTCCTCCTTTCCCACCAAGCACCCTTCTCTGAGCCACCTCGGCACCTCACAGAGTCCTAAAGACTGATACGAGTCACAATGCTGTGTCAGACACACTATTCCACGGCTTTCCATATGTGAATGTATCATATAATTCATACATTTAAATCTCACACTAACTCTGTCAGCTAGGTATCTTGATTATCCACATTTTACAGATGAGAAAAATGGAGATACAAATGGGCTAAGTATCATGGTTGAGGCCGCCCCTGCCGCAAAGTGGCAGGATCAAGAATTGACAGAGTAGGTTTTAGTGTCTACTTTACAGAAGGAGAAACTGAGGGCTAGGGAAATCAGTGGACTTGCTCGAAATCTCACACCTAGGGCAAGGGCTAGCTGCAATGGAACGGAGGGGAGAGGAGTGGAGGGACTGCTGAGCTTGTCTTTGGCCATGTTGGTGGGAGTTGACCTGACGGAGGGACAGAGCCCAGTCTCAGTGGGCCCCAAGACTGTGATCTCCAGGAAGGAACAATTGGGCTATGAGTCAGCCCCAGGTGGTAGAGACTAGTCACACTTGCTCCGCACCCGAGTGTCATCATCGTGAACTCCTGACCCCAGCACCAGCTGACCGTGGGATACCCACTTGCTCTTCCGAAAGACAGCAAGGAAGAAGGAGGTCTGAAAGCTAATGCTGGCTGCCTGGGAACAGCAGGGACAGAGAGCACAGCCTTGGCTCTGTTCTGAATGAAACGGCGGCCTGTGACCGCAGCCGTTGGACACCTGAGAGCCAGCAATGGGGTGGGAAATTTTTATTTGCAGCAGTGAGTCATAACACTGCCCCCAAGTGCCCCTGGGCATCGTGCCCCAGTAGGCCCTCCACAGTCTGGGCACAGGGAAGTTTGCCCACCTCACCCCATGCCTTCTCCGCTGGCCTTGCCACTCCAAGCCATTGCCAGCACACAGCAGAGGGCAGCAGGAGCTTGGCTCCCACGTGCTGCTTCTACCGGACCCTCACCCCCTCCACCACTCAGCTTGCACTAGGAGGCAATGCTCCTGGGCCCTGCCTCTGTGGATTGGAGAGGTACCGGGATCCCCAAGACGCTCTCCAGCCCTCCTCCACTCTTGGCACCTGCCCAGTTGGCTCGGGTGCTTGCCGGGGCCCTGGCTCGGCCAGCACTTGGACCCACCTCACAGAGCCTACACTGCTCAAGGTCCACATCCCAAAGGCGGGGCTGAAACAGGGGATGGTCTGAAGCTGGGGCGGTCACAGTAAAGAAAAGCTGAAAGGTTTTTATCTGGGTGGTCTCCCGTCCACAGGTGAGCTGAATTCAAAGTCAGAGCAGGAAACTCCAGTGAGAACAGAGAGGGCCCTCAGAAGAACTCAGGGTCTGCTTTGTTATTGCTTTGGGCAGAGGGGCTTTGCCCCCAGGAGATCAAGCTTGTGCCCAGAGGCTCGCACCACCATTCCCATCCTATGAGCTACAGGGTGGGCACACCAGGGATGAGCCGAGGAGGGCAGGTACCATGTGCCTTCTCTAAGAAGAGAGTCAAGGTGATGAAGGAGAGCCTCTTTAGGCCGCACTGAATCTGCATGTGTGCACACAGAAATGGGAGAGTCAACGGGTGTGTGTGTGTAACTGAGGGTGTCCATCAGCGTCCATGTGTGCATGCAGAAGGAGCATAGCGCGGGTGAGTGAGCCCAGCAGCGTGAAGGATGTGGCCGCGGGCTGCCGTGCTGAGCATGAGCAGGTAAACAGACACCTGGAGCACCAACAGAAGAGATCAGAGAGTAGGAAAGCTAAGCTGAAAAACGGGAGGGGGTGGTTCTGCACCCCCATACTCCTCCCCTGGGGCCAGAGTCCGGGGAAAGCAGCTGATCAAGGAGGGGGGTGGTCTTCGGGTAGAGTGTGGGGTTGGCAGATGTCCACGTATGAGAGGGCACAGGGCCGCTGGGTTGCCTGGCACATCTACAAGTCTCCATGCTGATGACAACTACGGTATGAGTGTCTCCCCTGGGCCTGCCCACAGTGTGTGCCCATGCTCATGGGGGGGGGCGAGGGGGGTGTCTGTGAGGCCATGTATGCAGGTTGGTTACGTGTCTTCACACAAGCACACATGCTGCTCACAGAGACTTCTCTTCAGCCTCCAGGGGCCGCCTGGGCACCCAGAGGCTCGGCACCCCTCTAGGCACTGAGATCCACCACAATGTGTCGGTACACGAGCGTCTGTCCCTTGAAGCTGGGGGCCAGGAGCAGGTGCGCGTCCCCAGCAGGCATGTAGCAGAAGGCCCGAGGGGCCTGCACAGCCAGCTCCTGGAACCGCACGAACTTTTGGCGCCCCTCGTCCCACTGGTAGATCTGCGTGAAGGAGAAGTCACTCCCCAGCGCCAGGTAGCGGCGGCCGCCCACGAGGAAGGGCTGCATGGCCAGGGAGCCCCTGGAGGGCAGAGCCTGCACTTCAGAGAAGCGGCTGCCCTCCCAGCGCAGGATCTTAGAGTCGCCGATGTAGCGGCTGAGACACAGGTAGCTGTCGCGACCAGCACGGAAGTGCTTCACGGCCTGCGCATCAGGCACCTGGGGCACCTCGCCCTGGGCCACAAACTGCTTCTG